ATACTAATTGCAGTGTGAGGAGTTTTGTTGGTTTTCCTGAGCCCTGGATAAACATTGACCTATTTTAAATTACTAAGTGACTCATCTAAAAAGCCCCAGGTCACAAGTACAGCATTTAAATGAAGGCACAAATGCCATAGAGTGGAGATTTTCTTCACTTAAATGACTATGCTTCCTATTACAAAACCCTCTAATTTGAGGTATACCAAAAATAACATTGATACATATGGAGCCACAAATTAACAGTCTCCATAAATAAGATCACTTTGCCAAGGACCCAGTCCTAAAACTGAAGTTTCATATAATGCTATGACCATGTTTAAATGTCAAGAAATTTTCAATCACTAGCCTAGTGACATTAAAAGAAATCTAAAATGAGCTTATCTCTAATCTTGTTGCTGATTAAAAATCAATTTTTAAAAATCACTCCAATGTTGTATAGAAAATAGTGGGAAGAATGAGAAAACCATAATTTGAAAGAGCAGGCTTCCTAAAACCATAAGGAATATGACCACAAAATAAGAAAGGGTCTTTGGGAAAAAAGCCTTTGTACAGAAGACATATATGTCAACAGAACAAGGATTTGGAAGAAAAAGTCAGGAGCAAACAATCTTTAAACTACTAAATGCTTTTTGCCATCGAACTCATTTACCAGTTTCTCCTCATTTTCCCTAAACTTGTCTGATTTCCTTCTAATATTCTCTATATATACATCAAGGAAAAGCATTTTCCTACAACAAATTAAGCTTAATTTTCTACCTGCAATGCAGACAATTAAGAAATTGAAAGACAAGCTGATAGAACAGACAGAAAAAGTGGCACCATGGGGACAAGGCTGAAGTCAATAGACTCAGCTCAAACACTGAAGCCATCAAACTATGTGACATGACACAAATCACTTAACCTCTTTAGGTCACTTTCCTCTTCTGCAAAATGGAATTCACACCTGCTTGCCTTGAAGATTGTTATGAGATTATCCCATCCAACCCATTGTGTGTGACAAACCATGACATGCTATGGACACCCAAAATGTTATGTGAGATTTCACTTTTTAAAGCATTATTAAACTCCTTCTGCCAAAGGCATGAGACCTAATATCTTGTAGCTCTTTGTTTAGAGGGGAGATGTGCAAATGTAGGGGAGCTGCTAAAGACAGAAGAGCACCAAAAAAATGATATTTTCCTATTTATATACTCAGAAGGATAGAAAACAGAACTGAACCATGAGAGGCAGTTATTTAAAGTTTAATGAGCATATCACAATGTGTGGAGGACCAATTCATGTTTGTTCCACCTCAAATCATTTCTATTCCATCAGTGATAAGCATCTCCACTTTAGAAAGACCAACCTACTTCTCACGTTCTATGGTTCTTGTTGCTAAATGATTTAGCCAAAGCTACAAATTCAGTCACATATGAGACTGGGCTCAAAAGTACAGGACACTTAATGTCTTTAAGCACTCCTAACCAGTGCAAGCCATGATTGGGTAAATTGCACATAGCATTTCTCTATTTTTGCAAAGTAACAGACTGCATGCAAGCAAAACACAGATCCCTCAAATAGTTAATAACCTCGGGGAATTCAGATTTCATTTTAGATGGTTGGCAACAGAAAACGAATTTTGAGTTATCAAAATTAAACAGCTGCAGATGAATGATTGGACCTATCAAGTAGCTAATCAGGAGGGTCCCGTCTGTTGTTAATCGTGTACATCATTTATGCACACTTTAATGTATGAAAACCTCTGTAGATTCTTCAACATGGGTTGCCTGACAATTAGACATATGCCCAGGGATCAGTGCTCATGTCTTGACTCTTAAGAAAATTAACTGGCAACACAAATGCAATCATGTCATTCTACTGCTTAAATCCTTCAATGGCTTCTTATTACCTTTGGTAAAAAACCTTAAATCTTCTTTTCTCGCTTTCATTAATCTTTTCATTATTGTTATCCTGGGATTACATTGACATTTATCAAAGTTTTTACAATATATCAAAGTTGAATTTACCCCCTCCATCATTCTTCTTTACCCCTTTCCCCCCCATTCCTGGAATAGTACCTCAACAGGTCTCGTTTTTCCATTTTTATACATGAGCATATAAAGTTTCCACTACATTCACCCTCCTCCACCCTGTCCTTATGTCCTTCCCCCTTCCACTGGCGACAAACCTCCAGATAGGACCTGCTTTACCTACTTGTCCTCTGTTTTTGAAAAAAGACACTTGTTTGCATAAGATAGCTATATAAGGAGTTTCACTGTGACATTTCCATGCATATATGTATTATAACCCAAATTAGTACATCCCCTCTATTTTTTGCCTTTTTACCTTAGTCTGCTTCTTATGGTCATGTCCACAAGGTTTAAAAATTCTATTTTCATTCTTGTATAGAAAGTACATCAACCATATTCACATTCTTTACTTCCTTCTTTTACCCTCCCTCTCCCATTAGTGAGCTCACCTTAGCATGTCCTGTTTTTCATTATATTTCTTATATTGGGCCTATATACCACATATGAAAGAAAACATGTGGCCTTTAAAACCCAAAATCTTGATGTACATGATGGTACACATCTCTAATCCCAGCATGCAGAAAGCTAGCAAATTCAAGGCCAGCTTGAATAAATCACCACATAAGAAAAGGTTTACTTTGGTTCAGTTTGGAGGCTTCAGTCTATGACCAGTTGGCCTTAATTCTTTGAGTCTGTGGTGGTACATCACGGCATGAGGCAGAACAAAGTCACTCACCTCATGGATGGGACATGAAAAAGACAAAGCAAGCAGAAATGGCCTGATCCCACAACACCTTTGAAAGGGTCTCAGTGACTCCTTCACTAGAAGTCTCTTACTAGACCCCACTTCTTAGTTTCCACCACATCCCAATATTACCAACCTGGGGGCCAAACCTTTACCACACAGGCCTTTGGGGGACATTCAGGATCCAACGTGCAGTACTCACCATGTATCACTCCAGCAGCACTGACTCTTTTACTATCTCTAAACTAGGCCTATTTGAACTGTTTTGACTGCCCTTACCCAATCCTACCACCTCTGATCCTGCTAATGCTCACTCACAACCCAAGTCTCAAATTAAAACAGCACTTCCTCAAAGGAATCTTCCCTGGACCCCTTAGATTAGCTGTTACAGGCTTCTCTACTTCTCCACACTAACAGTCACGGTTGAATTGCCAGTGCGTGTCTTCCTACTCCACTGGCATGTAATCCATCAAGGGTTGTATGTGTCTTATCTATCCTTGTATTCCTAGCATGTACCACTGTGTCTAGCACTAATTAGATTTTCACACGCACTTGCTAAATGAATAAATGATTGGTTTCAGGCTAGTCCACAGCTAAGGCTACAGAGTCATCCAGAATAGCTTAGATAATCTTGAGAGAAGACCTGGCACCCTATTTTTCAACCTATCTGGACCATTCTCTTTTTCTAAATGTATATATTCTCTTTTTTTATTGTTGAGCTGGATGGGTACATTGTGGCATTTACAAAAGTTGTTACAATATATCATTCTTGAATTCGCCCCCTCCACCATTCTCCTTTAACCCCCCTCCCCCATTCCTGGAATAGTTTCAGCGGGTATCATTTTTCCATGAATATACATGTATATATTCTTGATACAGATCTGTCTAGGGGAGAATGGAATCCTCCGTTCAGATGAATGACTTTCAGAATCTTTGGTATGGTTCTGTCAGGGGGAATACTACCCTTTTCAAAGTGGGTCCACCATAACACTCAACCACAACCGTCTGCTCCAGCAGCCACAGTGATGAGAGCCTGTTGTATGAAAAAGAGGCAGCATGGTGGAGTGGAAGGAGTCGGAAGATCTAGGTTTTCTAACATCTGTTTGCATTTCCTCTTTCTGGCTAAAAGGCCCTTCCTGTGAAATTGGACAAATCTCTTGTCATGTAAGCACCAAATAGTTTACTATTTTATCTAGAAGCTGATGATACTTCAATAATAAAAGCAATAGGTAAATTGTAAAATACTAGGCAAATTATGTTAATTTTGGCCCTGGTCCTTGGGAACTTCTGAATATTACCTGTTAATAAAGAGTATTCTTTCCCTGCCATTTGATGACTGATAAAGACATCCTCTTCTCACTAGGCTAGTAAGGACTTAAAGTCCTGATCCATATTCAGAATATAATCGTGCATTGGTTGGATATGATTCATCTCCCCTCCTTTTATTCATTCTTCTGTAGTATAAAAACTAACTTTTAATAAAGTAGCCAATACAACACTTCCTTATGAATTAGACTTTTGTCTGTTGTAACCAAGTAAAACCTTGACATAAATAGCAGTGACCTGAACCATCAGCTAAGCTGGTTGCTCCCTTCTAGAGCAGTCATAACCCCTATTTTTGCTTACTGGTGCTCATGTAATCTTTCTTCCCACAATTGGGGATGACTTTACAATTTACAAGGGAAGGATACAATAGATTCTTTCCAAGAAGCAGATAATTGAAGGCATTTCTGATAATGGAATTTCAAGAGGGCAGTAAATGCTTATCACACTTTAAAAAGATAAAGAATAACAAAAGAGAACTAAATTTTCATACTTGGTTAGATTCTGAGAACTTTAAATGTATTTTAAGTGGTCTTTTTAAAATTATCACAGTCACAATATGTATTTTGAGAATATATAAAGAAGTAACTCCTATTTAAAATAAGTCCTCAGTCCTTTATTGTGTTCTCTCATCTTCCTATTGCACAGTAGGGTGGCTATGTTTAACAATGCTGCATTGAATTTTATCAAATATTTCAAAATAACTAAGAAAGGATTTTGAATGTTATCACCACAAAGAAATGATGAATGTGCGAGGTGCTGGATATGCTAAATACTTTGATTTGATTACACAGTGTATCATGTATTGAAACATCACACCTATGCCCGTATCTATGACAATTATGTGTCAATTAAAGAAAAAAGAAATATGTATTGAATAGGAGCTGGGTTGACCTGTTTGGTATTGGTTTTCATTACAGACTTATCAATGAGTCTTTGAGGGACCAGCTATTGGTGACTATACAGAAGACCTTCACATACACCCGAACCCAAGCTCAGCACCTATTCATCATCCTTATGGAGTGCATGAAGAAGAAGGAATTGGTATGTAACTCCCCGTGACTGTCAGGGTCCCTCAATATTCTCTACTGTGTTTTTCACTCACGCACCATCTTGTTTTTCTGGCTGAGCTTTTATAATCCTCCTTGGACTCCACTGGTTCCAGTAGTTTCTTTCTGAAATAGCTAGTCTGTTTTTTCTGCCTTGATTCCAATGAAATGTGTGCAGCAGGGCATTAGCATCATTTCCTTTTGGAGCCATCCAAATGCTTCTGATTGCCTCAACCAAATGAGTTGAAGAGGAAAAAATAGGTTTCCTCTTGGGAAATGCTTTGGTTGATCTTCTTTTAGGTTTGGGGTTTTACTTTGCTTATGAGCAATAAATCACTGATGTGCTTTGTGTCAAGTGTCTTTAGTGACACAGCATCCAGGCTAATATGCTAGTCTGTACAGATGGAAAATGGAGAGACATACCCAAGAAATGCTGGAAACATCTGAATAGTCTCTGAAGTGTCCTCCAATAGCTACTGGATTATTTTTTTTATATCAGAGCAAAATTTCTTACTTGTGTGATAAGGGGCCCTATGTTGGAATATAGCTAACATTTAACCAGCACTTGATTTATGCTAGGTAGGTAACTAAATCTCTATATATCTGTAATCTCATGTGATCTCTGCAACTGTTCTGATAAAGGATATAATGATTACCTTCACCTTACACATGAGGAAACTCAGACTCAATTATTAAGCAAGGATGAGGACTCAAAACCAGTGATAGTTAATCTCCGTGGGAAATATTTTTCTTTAGAATTTGTCTCATTGAAGGCGATGTAGTGAATCACCCACTCTGGGTAGATTCCCATCAGGCCTTATCAAGCAGAAACTGTTCTCAAAGGTCAGTTAAGCCCAGCTGCTCACAGGAGTTGCCAAACATTTAAGGAATTAATTAGATTAAGCAAGCCACTCTCCAGAGACCATCCACTCAGCCTTTGTGAGAAGTCTTCCTACAGCTTCCAGATTTCAGAGAAGAAGGGGATGCCTCTAACCACTGAGTGTCCATAGACCCTTGTACATAACTTGACTAAAGAGGCCAAGCAAGTAGTTAGAGCACACAGTCATATGTGCTGTCATCCCAGGGAGCCTCCATCACTACCAAATGTGGTTAGCTCACAGCATTTCAGCTCATGTTTTCTCCATCCATGGAGGTGCTGAAACTTGAGCTTCCACAAGTTACAGGACAGATTGTCTTCCAAGTACTGATGGTTTGCCAACAGTGAGGCCAGCGTTAACTATGAAACCTCACCGAATTAGACATTTCAAGCAACCTTGCAAATTTCCTAGAAAGGCAGTTCTAGCATAATTCTAGGAACCAGATGAAGGTCATAAAACCAAATGAGGCTGAACTGTGGGTATTTCATGGGACTGTTCTGCAGGACTCTGGCCTGATAATTGTCATGTGACTTATTCATGGCCCTTGCTGAAAAGGTCAACTACATCTTAATGTAAGTTAGGAAATGTGAAGTATTCCTAGCACCAGGCTAAGGAAATGCATTCTGAGTAAGGAGTAAGTTATCTTTTCTCCATATCTGGGCAGAAATGTTAGGAATTTTTAGTCATAATTTAAAATGATTTCAATTTCTGAGGTACTACTTATATGTGCAGGACAGTACTGGATGCTTTACTAATCAGGTGGACTCCAGGTACCATTTTCTTTTTTTTACCAAGGCATCACCTCATTTGCAGGGGAGGAGTCACATAACCAAGGAAGAGCCAGTTAGGACTGTCTTGCTACAGAGGACAATGGGTCACCAGGCTGTATAACATAGCAGGACAAGGAAGCACTACACAGTGGAATTTCTTCTTCCATATGCCCCTCAGGTTTCCTTTGATCTTCTTTACTAACTGCATGGGATATAATATTTTGAGGCCAATCAACTATTGCCAAGTTCAGCTGAGGGATTTTTTTTTCAATGGCTAATGTGGCATCTTCCTCCTGTTAGCACCTTGTTAATTTACATAGTGAAGACCTGCACTACAGATACATATTCAGTTTGTAAAACACAAGTCTGAGGGCTATGTGGCCTTATGGAAAACATGCCTTGCTGGATCCTTGGTGGGGCTGTAGTAGCTGAGGCAGTCTGTGACAGCATCACATGGATGTATTCCTGTACTTCCCACTCCCTTCATAGAGTTTGGGGAAAAGTTCATTTCTCTGCTTACTCAAAACTTATCACCTAGTCACATACTGGTGGCTCATGACTGTAATCCTAGCTACTTGGAAAATTGAGATTGTGAGGATCACAGTTCAAAATGAACCCAAAGTTTACAAGACCCCCATCTCTACAGAAAAAAGCTAGGAGTGGTGGCATGTGCCTGTCATCCCAGCTATAACAGGAAGCGTAAAATAGGAGGATCAAGGTCCGGGCCAGTCTGGGCAAAAAGCAAGACACTATCTCCAAAGTAACCAAAGAAAAAGGGCTATAAGCATGGCTCAAGGGAAAGAGCACCTGTCGCTCAAGCACAAGGTCCTGAGATGAAGCCCCAGTACTGCCAACAACGAAAAGTTACCTTCCATGAAGACAATATCCTTTCTAGGATCTAACCTGTGAGCTAATCCCATCAGTGTTTTTGCATAAAAAAATAAAAACTGTCTACAACAGCATATTAATTTGGGGACAAACTTAAGGCATCAGAACTCAGTGTTCCTCCACCTTCTTCCTCAAGAGTCATCTGACTATAGAGAATATCAAGATCAGGAAAAGAGGGCCCACATGGCAATGCACCCCTTGAGGTTAATTTTGTTATAGAAACTACAGAGCCTCTTCCTTTTAGAGGGTAGTGCCAGCACCTCCTCTCAGTGTCTGCCTGCCCTCTGTGCTCCAACAGAGCCCCCTTTGTCACCACTGTCAATCTGCCGGCTACATGTGGGCGTTATAGGTTTACTTTTATTACCCTGAAGTGAACAAAGATTAATTGGACTCATCATTGTACACCCCATGGTACATATGGCCCTCAAGAAGTCTTTGTGACCAAAAGTAGTGATTTACCACCTTCGAGGTCCATACTGATGATTCATAATTCACTATCCTCCTCTGCCAGCTACTGAGCCTCCCATGATCCCATTATTGTGACCAAATACCTGACAAATAGTTTAAGGAAAGATTTATTTTGACTCACAGTTTCAGAGGGTTCAGTGCATGGTTGTTTGGCCCCATGTGCTTGGGAAGAAAATCATGGTGGCAGGAGTGTGTGATGGAGATGTGCCTTCACCTTATGGCAGACAGGAAGCAGAGAGAGAGAGAAAGGGAACAGAGACTATAAGTATAACCTTCAAAGGCACACCCCTAGTGACCCAGTTCCTCCAGCTAAGCCCCACCTCTCCCAAAGTTTCCACTACCTCCCAAAATGCACCACCAGCTGGAGACCAAGTATTCAACACATGTGCTAGTGGGGCACGTTTCATAAATCTAATCATGACACTGGTCATCTTTCCATCACTTCCCAGCCACATTTAAGAATCGTGTAAATCCAAGGCTTTACAATCTGTTCCTCCCTCCAAACACAACTGCCCTGTGTGTACCCTACCTACCACCACCACTTCATTCATATTGAACCTGAACTTGGATGCCAAGCTTTATAACTGATTAGCTTGAGATCAAATGCCCAAGTAACCTAGGTGGAAACTTGTTTCAAACTGTAGTTTTCATTTACCTGTGACTTCAAGAGTCCATGCTCTTCCTCACTTGGGTTCTCTCACCTTTCCAGTCCTCCTCTCTGTGTGCCCAGGGCTTCTCTGTACCAATCCCAAAGCTGAACCATTTGGTTCTAATTCACCTACACTTTAACAATGTTGGGTAATCTTGTGTTACCCCTGAGTTCACAGCTGCTCCTGTTCCATATAGTTGTTCTAAGCCTTTTGTATCCTTTTCAAGTTTTAAACCACACCCACTTCCTCTTATTTTTATATATTTCTAATGATAACCCTTTTTTGGTTAGGTTCTTTCAGTTTAGGGTTTATTTCTGTACTATATATGTGGTTTCCTTTGATAAACAGAAATTCTCCAATTTAATATAAATTCATTAGCCTTTTTGTTTCGTACATTTTGCTTCTTGTTAAACTCTTTCCTAACCTGATATCAGAAAGGTTCTTCTATATTTTCTTCTAAAAAACAGATCTAATTTCATGTTTCACATGAAATGTGCACCCCCATCTAGAACTGACTTTTTTGTATATGATATGAAGTAGAAGTCCATGTGAATAACTAATTAACCCTATTATCATTTACTGACTGATTCATCCTTATCACAAAATGCCATCTCTGTCATAGATCGAGTTTCCATATATAAATGAGTCTTTTTGATTTTCCTAATTGATATAGATTTATAAAGCTCTGATGTTGATGGGGCAAGTCACCCTTTTTGCTATCTTTCTCCAGGATTGGCAACTATTTTACCCCTCTGCTCACACATAAATTTTAAAGTCAGCTTGTCAAATTACACACACACATTTTTTGGATGGGAACTGAAAACATAATAAACTTATAGATTCATTCCCTACATGTTCAACAGAAGACCTGTCCTTGAAATGAAAGGCAATAAACTTAAGCTCCCTTACTCTCTTACCTGTCCATACCAGTAGGACTGTTATCTTGACCCATGTTTTTTTTTCCTTCTACTTGAAATCAGAGGAAGTAATACCCTTCTTCTTCTAAGATCATTTTCCAAACTTGAGCTACACATCCCATCACTTCCCCTGTGATCTTGAGCTAGAAAGGATGTTTTTGAACAGTAGCCCTCTTCACTACTCCATCTGCTTCAGGATGCAGATGGATCCTAAAACTTAATGACACTGTATTCTGCTGCTCATCATTCAACTTTTGTTTCCCTTCCTCTTTCCTTTCCTTTCTCATTGCTTTCATCCATAAATGCAGACATTACCTAAAACTTTGTTCTGTTTTTCTTCTTTATGTCATGTTTTAGAGAATTTTAAATCTTCCACCATGAGATATTGTATCAGTTTCTCCTTGAAACTCTGTCAAGTTTTCCC